GGAACTATGATACCCACCCTGAACACGCTATTGTCAGTGCTCATGACAGCTGCAGCTGTCTGCGGAACTAAGTTATCCGCTTGTGGACCTAAGTTACCCACCTGGCCAGCGCCTCCTCTGGGCGTTGCCACCATCAAAACATCCTAGGGGTCGTCATATACGTCGACGACTCCCAAGCATCTGCCGGATGCTATGGTACCCTGGCAACCCTTGCGGGTGCCCCGGGTCCTGACAGAGGTGGAAACATGACTCACTAATGCTCTGTCGGACTGCGCAGGGCGGCTGGCACCGATTGCCTTGCCTCGCCAGTCGATCCAGGGCTCGTGCTTCTCAAGCCAGGGCATGCCCAGGATCATATCATATGGATCCATATCGAGAACAGTGAGCTGTTCGAGGCTGTCAGAGTATTCAAACTTGACGGCCAGATCCACTTGAACGTTGGGAGCAGTGACGACCTTCCCGTCGGCCAGTCGCACTGACACCGTCCCGTTGCCCTTTCTTTCTCTCAGAGCATCGAACCGCTTGTTGCTATTACGAGCAACCGTCTGGCGGCGTGCGAAATTCTTCGACACCCCAGAATCGATCAAGATTCTACAGGGATGATCGACCGCCGTACACATCCGTGTACTACGAGCAGCCCGCCGCTGCTCTTCGCCTATTCGAGAGTGCGAAGACTCTCAGGGGCTAAGTACCCGTGGTACGCGCCACCCGCGCACCCATCACGAAGACTTAGTTCTTCCCCAGTAGGGCACCCCGATCCTACTGGTTTCCGGCGTTCCCCTGTCCCCGGGATCCTGGCTCCCGCAGCCAAAGCAGCGGATGTCACGCTGTTCGGCGGACCCGAGCTCCATGGGAACTGGTCCGTTGGGGCTCGTTCGACCGGGAGTCGACAGGGAACTCCCAGGTCACGCTGAGACCGCCTGGCGATGACTGTACTCTTCTTGAAGAGCCACTTGAATCGCCTTTTCAAGGGTGTTTGACTGCACCCGGAACAGCTGAGTGCGTGCGAAGCCCACTCGAAGGCCGTCCATGAACACAGTCATCTTGATGCGTTCGTTGAGTGGGTTTCCCACTAGGGACGCCGTGAGCTCCCGTATCTCTTGCACGTACTCGTGCAAGAGGCTCACGCCTCCCTTGTTTGCACGAGAGGAAGCGCGAACGCTGGCGGTACTCGTTGCTCGCTGGGAGGAACGCGGCTCGAAGCTGCTCACACAGCTGAGCCCAGGATGTGAAACATCCTGGGATGTTGCCTCCCGTGTGTACACCCAACTCTAAGCACGGCCGCTAAGGTTGAAGAGTGCAAAGGCAACACGATGTTGCTCTGTCGAGATCAGAGACGCTTCCATCGCGAGCTCTATTTCTCGGACCCAGAAGTGACGGTTCTCGCCTTCCTTCCCTTCATACGGCTTAACCTTCAGCCGTATTGACTTCGGGTGAGGCGGATTTGCTTCCGCCGCCGGAGCCTGCAGGCTCTCCCGCACATGCGCGATGAGCCCCAGCTCGTACACGTCAAACGCAATGACGCGCTCGAGCTGCTCGGCCGGTGTTGACACCACCAGGCTCTGCAGGGCCTCCATCTTAAAGATGCCTGCCATATTCCGAACCTACTCGAACTGAGAGTCGTCATATGGGAGAAGTCGTTCCTATCCATGGCAACGAACTTCGGAGAGGTTCAGGTAGTCTACCCGCGATGGCGTGGATTGACTACGAGTGCTACGAAGTGTGACGGGGTCACACAGCACCTTGCGCTAGAGGAAGTTAGCTTCCGAGAGTATATAAACTCTCAGTGAACGGCAGTTCACAGGTCCCCTTTTATCGAAACGGGAGCGAAGTGACCTATTTAAGGTAGAATGTAAACTGAGTATATTTACAAGTAGATAAAGCTTGGGTTTAATACAAACTATAAGTCACTAATAGAAATGCAATGTCATCAACCAATGGTTGGCTTTGGACAACCTTGGTACCTTGTACCAAATATCCCGAAGTATGACGTGTCATACTTCATGTATCCAGGGGTACACTTAATGCAACGTACCCCGTTACAATATTTTTATGGTCTCTGGCCCCAATCGTGAAAATAATGGAGCTGTATTTGCAAACGCTTATGGAATTTACGATGGATAAAAACATCCTTCCGCTCATACAGTGCGGTAGGAGGGCGTCGTTTCCTAATGGCTTGACAGACGACAATCGTTGCTTAAAATTGTAAAGCTTTTGTAATATATTGAAAGCATTTGCTGGGAAACTCAATTTTCACTGTTTCACTAAGCTCATTGGCAACACTTCCGATATTTGATATTTTATTTGCTTATGGATATCAGATCCAAGGAGCTTAATATCTAGCGACCCCCCCCCTCCGTTTATAAAAATGAACTTGAGAAAATGTTTCTTTTCTCCACATCGGTAGGGTATGTCGGATGATGAGCGTACCAGTAGACTCAGCTTTAAAAATACACCTTGCTGTTTACAGACCTGCCCTCGCAATTTTAACAAGAAAGAAAAGATGTAAGAGGGTATGGAATCTATTTCTCTAGTTCGTTTACCCGATCAAGTTGACCGATAAGCAGCCGTCTTTAAGGCTTAAAAACGTTATTTCATACATCATATCAAGGATGAATCGATGAAAAGATATACGTGCTTGAATGTAACTTGTTTAGGCTAGTATTTACGGCATTTTTGCAGTTTGTATATTGCCAATTCGACGTTTCATCGCGCTTCTTACAAATTCCAATTTAAAATCTCATGCCTTCTACAGTATTACTAGTAGGATTATACCCATGCTACTGGGAGGCTTTCAACCTGGGGACAAAAGATTAAATATTCCTGATGTTCACAAACCCCAAAAGCTGTGAAATATAGTAGCTTTTGCTCTACAAATATACTATTCTTTATAAATAAAATCCGGATTTTAAAAGGGCGCGTTCTATTAGCAATAAAACGGACAATTACCGTTAAAAGTCGTAAAGTTATGAGTTTCTTATGATAACATAATAAGAAATAAGACTATTTCAAAAAATTACAAGCTTGTGCTAAATATGTTGCTCTTTCTCGAATTTTAAAGATAGAAAACGAACGCCACACGCATTTCGTTTTGCTGAGCGGACACTTTTTTATTTTCATTTGCAAGACTTCTAGAATGGTTAGCTATGGTGCCACCTTGTTATTTTACACTGTTTTTTAAGCTCTTTTAGCACTAACGTTTAAGAGCCAAAAGGGTTAGCTCTGTTGGTACCATCAATGTCTACTTCGTACACTTAACTCCAAGAGCATATCTAGCTGCCCTATCCGGTGTCTTCACAGGCAGTTTAAGTCCCAGGTTGTTCCTTCGAAGACCCATTTGTAATAGGTACCACGAAATACCTCGGCTATTGGTGGTGTAGCAGGCTACATACCTTGAGATTTTGACCAGGTCTGCCCCTGGAAGATGCTCTAATGGCAATACCGGTGCGGTGATTTATCCCTTCGAAAATACTGCCGAGGAATCCTCGGAGGATAGCACTGCACGGTGTAGTACACCCGTCTCAGCTCGATCCAAAGATCCAAAGCTCTTCGAAATGTCGAGGAGCTGCAGCACCGGGCAATCGTCACCTCGCTCGAGTTGCGGATCCCCGGTGCTGCAGCTCCTTGTACTTTCGCAAAGTTTGGGGTCAACTTGACCGTCAAGAAGGCACTTTCAAGTTGAAAGTTTTAACCGTATGTATTTTACGTACTGCACTGAACGCAGTTTTAGGTTAATAAGTTGCGTGTCGGGCCATGACGCGGTGCTCATCATAATGGAAGCTTAAAAAACTACACGTTCGCCTATGGGGCCCCGTAACGGGACCCGTTCGCGGCGAACTTCGCCTAATATTAGGCCTGTGGGGCCCATAGGCGAGCGGTACATGTATTTTTTTATAGTGGATCGCGTTTGGCCACGCTTGAATCAGCCCTGATGCATTTAAGGCTAAATTTTTTAGCCACGCACAAAACTGGATGTTGGGGATGCTTCTCAGTCAGAAACATCATGCCCGCGGGGCCGGCTCGGGTGGAGTCCACCGTGGAGTCCACCAGTCTCAGTATCGGGTACTGTTAAACTGTACAGAATGGTTCCCGACACAGACTTGGTGTACTGAAGACTTTTTAAAAAACTGAAACGCTCATCATTCCATACGCTATGTACTGAAATTACACGCATATGTGCGGGTGCTCGCTCTTAAGCGCAGCATTATAAGAACACGGGGCAGCAGAGCAAGATGGATGCCTACAAAGTAGGGGAGGATTCGGCCAGACAATTGGCTCGTGGAAATCCGGAGCGGGTATCAGCTGCTGTCATCAGCGATCATCAATCCAAGCAAGAGAGCCGCTCTCTTGCTCTCAGAGCACCGCTCTGCACCGGAAATTGTGGCCAGGTCATCCCTCGCGATAAGGACCTAATGTACGATATCCTCAGGATGGGCTGTGGTGGTGAAACGATCGCCAGGGTCCTATCAAAAGAAAAACACGAGCTAAATGCACGCATTAACATGCTATCTCTGACTCGGTTATAGATGGAGTGTTCGTTTACCAACACCAAGCTTGAAAGAGCACTGTGGCAGTCGAGTGGCTGACAAAGCATCCCAAGCAGTAACTGAATGTTCATCCCTAAAACTGAGGTTTGCTGCGCTGGGACTTTGTCTTTATCTGCTGCTCCGTATCTCGCCCTGGCTGCAACGGCAACTTGTTGCAAGTAAGGGACATGACCGGCCAAATCCCTGGCATTGATGATGCAGCCATGTTGGCCCCGACACTCCGACACTTGCGCCCAGTATGGAAATGTATGCCGATACAAGGCAAAAAAGGATCGGCTCTGTTCTGCCGCCGTTCTCACTGAGCCCGGCGCCCTTCAAAATAGAGAAATGGCCTGAGCCGTGTGCACGAAGTGCTTTAACTCGTTCACTTTGTATTTTTTCTTCTCTCGCAGAAGTCCAACAAGCAACAACAGAAATCTCGCATCGTGCAGCTCGACTTTCTTCCTCTCCGCGATGTCGACCTCGAACGGCAAGACGGCCTTCTTCACTATGGAGGACGCTAAGGCGTCTTTCAACCTCTTCTGCTGCGTCTGCGGTATCGGCTCGCTGGCCATGCCGTCCAACTATGCCCGTGCCGGTCCGTTGTTTGCCTCCATCGCCTTGGCCTTCATGATCTTCGCCAACACGTACGCCACGCTCAAGCTGTCCAAGGTGATGCTGGTGGCGCCGTCGTCTGTGAAGACGTACGGTGACCTGGGCGAGTGGGCTCTGGGCAAGTGGGGTCGCTTCTTCACGGTGGTCTCTCAGATGGGTGTGTGTCTGCTGGTGCCGTGTGCCTTCCTCGTGTTGGGCAGTACGCTGTTGGACGTGCTGTTCCCGGATTCGTTCAGCCAAATCTACTGGATCATCTTTATGGCTCTCATGGTCATCCCGGTGTGTCTCATCCCGACACTGAAGGAGAGTGCCGGCATGGCCTTTGCCGGTTGCATGGGCACGGTCATCGCCGACATCATCGCCGTGTCGGTGTTGCAGTGGAACATGCGCGGCCACGATTCCATCCCCAAGCCGGACGTAACGCTGCACCAGGTTCTGACCTGCTTTGGTAATCTTGCTCTAGCGTACGGTGCTGCTATTGTGGTGCCCGACTTGCAGCGCGAACACTCGCAGCCTCAGCGCATGCCGCGTGTGGTGGTGATCACCATCCTCTTCATCTCCGCCTTCTTTGTCGCTGTGGCTCTTGCTGGCTACACTGCCGGCGGTTGTCAGCTCTCCGGTAACATTCTGTACTCGATCGTAAACAAGTCGGACCCTCTTGGTCTGGCCCCTCTGGGCTTCAGCGCTGACCGTGGCGCGGTGGTGATGGCGTATCTGTTTATGCAGGTGCACATTTCCATCGCTTTCTCGACGCTCATGATGCCTCCGTTCTTCATGGCCGAGCGCCTGGTTCTGGGCATGCACCAGAGTCCCGAGATTATTCGCTTCAACGGTGAAGTTGACCAGGCCAATGTCGATCTTGACTTGGAGATTCAGGAGAAGCGCTCGTACATGCAGAGCTCGACCCCCATGGACACGGCGAACCGTCAGGTGTCTGCGTCGAGTCTGGTCGAGAAGACGGAGGGTCGGATGTCGCATCTGCGAGTGGCTCTGGAGTTCGGGGAGGAGATCACGGAGGAGGAACTCCACGCACCCTACCGCAACAACCCGCTGCGTTACATTGCTCTTCGTATTTGTATCATTGCGATCTTGGTGGTCATCGCTGTGCTGGCGCGTAAGCGTTTCCTCGACCTCGAGGACTTTACGGGTGCCACTGCCCACACGACGAGCTGCTTGCTGTTGCCGTTGATCATCTACCTGCGAGTGTTCTGGAAGAGTATGTCGTTCCTGGACAAGGGCGCGTCCATGCTGGTGATTGTGGTGTGCGCCGTCACTGGTTGCTACGTGATGATCCACGCCGGTAAGCAGCTCTTTACGCCGTCGGACGATGACACTTTGTTCCCGTACTGCGAGACGGAATTCCAAGACGAGCCCTACTACGTGCGCAACAACAGCACCAACTAAGTCGAACTGGAACAGAAGCAATATAAGATAACTTTGTATTAGAGAAGGATAACATCATGTTATTTGAAAAACTACTACATGTACTTCAAAGTAGTAAAATAAGTATGCTGTGTTGGTAGCACTACTAATGCTAAAATACCGGTAATTTACATCTTTCGATAGTAATTTCCCTACTGTCAACCGTCCAAATGACAGCATTTTCTTACTATATTAACTTGAATTTGTAAACAGCCAAAACCATGAAAGTGTCCAGACCATCTACATGCCCAGCGCGGATATGCCACAAACTATAGCTTCAGATGTGGAGCACTAATAATTCTTTCGCGCTCCATTAGATATGACTTTCAAGCACAAACGAGACAAGCCTCGACTACATGTAGATAAGTACGTTTATTAAAGAAGCCTCGCAGTTAGCTGCTCGCAAGTACACATTTAATCATAACTAGTACAAATAGTGCCCTGCTTGAGCCTCCGGAGAGGACAGTCGCAGAAGCTAGGTTTCGTGAAGCCAAACTTAAATATCAGTACGTGAATATTTATTTTACTGTTTTAAAATTTTCACAAAGAAATTTTTTCTTTAGGAAATATATATTTTAAATTATAATAATTAAAAATAGCTTTAAAAGTTCTCTTGGGGTATTCTATATATTTGGATTTTTTGGTGAAAGCAAGTCATCAGAGAAAACCCAAGAAGCTCCGATCTTAGTTTATTATACTGCATATTTAGTAAAATTTAGATCGCCATTCTATCCGTATCCAAGCAATGGTGATGAAAGGACTTGTCGATTAAGTATTTCTACAATGACTATCCTGGTCGTTCTTGGGGTGAACGGGAATTAAAAAAAAAAAAAAAAAACTCGAAAATGTACCACATTTGCGCCGTACGTTGATTCAACGTACGGCGCAAAATTTGGCATCAGCGGTTGATGTGCTGCAAGTTGCAGTTTCGCATTGCGAATCTCAAGGGGTCAAGCAGCATTGTCCAGTCTTCTACATTTACATGTCCATCAATTATACTGTATTGACAATTTCCACATACGTGTATACAGTACTGTACTTCTAATAATCACGGAGGGCGGTTTTGTTAAAACTACTTAGTACCTGTAGTACCCTGTAACTTGGCCTGCGTTAGTACTTCGAAGTATCCTTTTATCGATTACTACTCTAAAGTAATTGGAAATGGAAAGGATATCAGCAAGACAGCTGCAACTTTCATCGCTAGGCGTAAACACTCGCGCCAAGTTATTAATACCCCTCCGAAGTACATTGCCAAGATCTGACCTTTTACACAGGTTTCTTACAGAATTGCTGCACCCACACTTCTAGATATTGTCCAGTCCATCAGAGAGCTTTAGATTCTGGACTGAAGATTTTAAAACAATTGTCGAAAAAGGGTCAAATCCGATGCTCCAAAAGTATATTCCAGCGACTAAAACAGTATTAGAATATCCATTGGTAATCTATCCGTCATTTATTCAGATTCTAATCAGAAACTGTTTCAAAAAGTCGCGCTATTTCAACAATAAATATGATTTTGTTATCCGTAATACAATGAGCTGTTAAAGTGTAATGTATACTTCCTGAAGCCGCTACCCCATGAGTAAATGCAACTGGTATACAGTAGTGTTAGCTTATGGAGTTGCGATGCGCGCACATTACGAACTGACAGCTCTACTATACAATGTACACTGTACAGTGTGTACATTCGTAAAAGTACTTTTAATACTTCTACGGCGCGCGATCTTGTTGAAGTTGTCGAAGATTCAGCATTCAACTGTACGATTTCGCAGATTCGGCGTCCAACAGTACTTGTAGACTACAGTGTACAGTATAAGAATACAACAAAGGAAGATCGCGCCGTTTACTCCTACGGTATGGTACTTCGAAGTATGAATGTTACACGATGTACCGGTGCCCAACATTGTCTGAGGTTACATCGACATCATCATGACGCGAATATTTGTTATGCTATTACAATTTTTAATAACTGTAAATGTAAAAACAGGAATGCTGGTTTCGTATCCTATCTAAGAAGCCGTGAGGTTATGCACGGTCGGTACACGCCAAAGAAAAAGCAGTATCCTTACCTCTCTAAAAAAACAATGAAAGCGTTTAACGTTGACGGTATACCCCGGTATACTGTTTTTATACTGTATACAATACCGCTTTAAAGAAACATGGTACTACGTAGTAAAAAAAGGAACGTAGTATTATACTGAACCGAACTTCAAAGTATTACTCTGAAGCGTACTACTATTTCAAGGCAAGTTTTGAGTAAATGTAGTATTTCGACTGATAGTCTTTTCAATAAGCGTTCCCTAGCTAGTTAAACAAAAAGAGCTCCGATTACAACACTAGACAGTGTATTTGTCGTCGTCCATTAGAATATGTCGGGCATGGATATAAATTTATCCTTAATACCACAAAAAAAACTACTTCATGATATATCGACTCTACCAAGCTGCGCTGCTCCAAGCGCTGCTGCGGCTCGGTTTCGGCTTAGTTGGTGCTGTTGTTGCGAATGTAGTACGGCGCATCCATAAACTCTTCCTCGCAGTACGGGAACAGAGTGTCGTCATCCGACGGGGCGAACAGGTGCTCACCGGCGTGGATCATCACGTAGCAACCCGTGAAGGCGCACACCACAATGCAAATAATCGAAGCGCCCTTGTCGAAGATCGACATTCGGTTCCAAGACACGCGCATGTAGATAATCAACGGCAACAACAAGCAGCTCGTCGTGTGGGCAGTGGCACCCGTAAAGTCCTGCAGGTCGAGGAAACGCTTACGCGCCAGCACGGCAACCACCACCAGGATCGCGATAATACAAATGCGAAGAGCGATGTAGTGCAGCGGGTTCTTACGGTAGGACTCGTCTTCCTCCTCATGCTCACCGAACTCCAGAGCCACACGCAGGTGCGACATCCGACCCTCCGTCTTCTCGACCAGACTCGACGCAGACACCTGACGGTTCGCCGGGTCCACGGGAGTCGAGCTCTCCATGTACGAACGCTTCTCCTGAATCTCCATGTCGAGGTCCACGTTGGCCTGGTCGTGCTCGGCGTTGAAGCGCACGATCTCGGGACTCTGGTGCATGCCCAGAACCAGGCGCTCGGCCATGAAGAACGGAGGCATCATGAGCGTCGAGAAAGCGATGGAAATGTGCATCTGCATAAACAGGTACGCCATCACAACGGCACCACGGTCGGCGGTGAAGCCCAACGGGGCCAGACCCAGAGGGTCCGACGTGCTCACGATCGAGTACAGAATGTTACCGGAGAGCTGGCAACCGCCGGCAGTGTAGCCAGCAAGAGCAATCGCCACGAAGAAGCCCGAGATGAAGAGGATGGTGATCACAACCACCCGCGGCATGCGCTGAGGCTGCGAGTGTTCGCGCTGCAGGTCGGGCACCACAATAGCAGCACCGTACGCCAGAGCAAGGTTACCGAAGCAGGTCAGAACCTGGTGAACCGTGATGTCGGGCGACGGGATCGAACCGTGGCCACGCATGTTATACTGCAGCACCACAACGGCGATGGTGTCGGCGACGATCGTACCCATGCAACCGGCAAAGGCCATGCCGGCACTCTCCTTCAGTGTCGGGATGAGACACACCGGGATGACCATGAGAGCCATGAAGATGATCCACACAGTCTGACTGAAACAGTCCGGGAAGAGCACTTCGAGTAGAGTGCTACCCAGCACCAGGAAGGCGCACGGCACCAGCAGACACACACCCATCTGAGAGACCACCGTGAAGAAGCGGCCCCACTTGCCCAGAGCCCACTCGCCCAGGTCACCGTACGTGCGTACCGACGACGGCGCCACCAGCATCACCTTGGACAGCTTGAGCGTGGCGTACGTGTTGGCGAAGATCATGAAGGCCAAGGCGATAGAGGCGTAAAACGGACCGGCACGGGCGTAGTTGGAGGGCATGGCCAGCGATCCGATACCGCAGACGCAGCAGAAGAGGTTGAAAGACGCCTTAGCGTCCTCCATAGTGAAGAAGGCAGTCTTGCCGTTTGAGGTCGCCATCTGCGGAGAACTGAACGACACGAAGGAAGAAGGTCGAGCGGCGCGATGTCAAAGTGTAGCTGCTGCTTGGGTGAACTTCTCCGCGTGAAGAAAAATTCCAAAGTGAGCTAGCTAAACCAAAACCAGCTCGCGAGGAGACCGAAAGCGAAGAACGATTCAACCTTTCTTCGGGTCCGCCGCTGCAGACTTGCCTTTCTCACGCAGGACTTTGGTTGAGTTCACCCGGACAGAGTCGATGCGCTTTGACGGCTCTTTTGCCACAGCAAGTATACTGGGCGCAAGTGTCCGTGCAAAGCTGCAACTTCGCCGCGCTCCATTCCCCGACTTGGCTGCATCGAGTGCCAGGGATTAGAGGCGGCTGAGGCTTTGCACATGCAAAATGCTGTCCTGCTGCAACAAGTTGCTGTTGCAGCAGAGCAGAGCAGAGACTTCCTGACGAAGATACGGAGCACCACATGAGGACAAAGCAGTGACAGCCCGTACAGTTCATCCGGATGTGTACATGCATCTAAGAAAATACATGAGCTGCCGAGGTACTGTGAACTTTTAATAGAATAGTTTTTTATTAATAAATAGATCAGGTCTACCGCGTTTTAATCTTGCAGCTTTCATCCAAATGGCGATGGGTGCTGAGGGTTAATACTTAATACCAGCTCGCCGGATGCCTGCCACCTCGCATGTTAATAACTGAAGGAAGAAGGATGCGCAGCACCGTTTCAACCGAGACGGAGCACCGCCCATCCCCTGTGCAGCAACTCGCAGGGTTCCGGTGCATGATACAGACTGTATACTAAATGTGCAGGCTCATGTACTGGATTAATAACTGTTTGATAGACTGGTTTCCATAGGAACCTTTTTAAAAACTAGTTATTAGCTGAAATGTACAGCGGGCTTCCCTGCAAAGCATCTCCGTATCCGGTTTATATCCGTCCGCGACTAGGATGCAATGCATCATGCATACAGTATGCAGCATACTGTGCCGACAGCGCGAGGATACTGTGCGGCGACTTTCCCCGTGTATCACCGCGACGAGCATCGCGTCACCGGAAAGGAGCTGGTTTCTGCTCGTCTCTTTAATTGGTGTTTACTAAGATGAATTAATTATTGGTGCACAGCGCGGACATTCTTTTTTACGAAGCTTTTGGGTCGTCCATGTACAAACGTGTATACAGTGCTTCAACACGCAGCTGTACTGGTACAGTACACATTTTACTTACCGGTACCGGTACGGACATGTTTTACGTAGGTATTAGTGTCCCGTACACAGTAAATGCTCCTGGTACTTAATTAAATATTTCCGGTAGTAATTTCGAGTATACGTGTATAGTATCACATGATCGCGCTATGGACTTTGTACGTAGACTACGTAACGTAGTGCCATCTATGCTAAAGGATCTGAAATGGTGCTGCAGATCACGACAACTCAGTTTCGACAAAAAGTCTTCCAGGTCCGATTGTGGCGTTTATTGTGGCACAGATTCCACATTATTAAAACAATGGTGAAGTACCATATCAAAAAATATCGGACCCTCGGACCTGTAGGACCTGTACCAAGCGAGTGGTACATGATGGGATGGATACATTGGTGTGTAGTACACCGACGGACAGAATGCAACTGCCGACAAAACTAACTGCCAGTCAGTGTAAAAAGGGCGTGCAAGATAGAAGAGATGCGCAAATCCTATTTTATCAACCAATCGAATCACTCAAAATCCTGATTTTATTCGCCGATCCAGCCGTTATTTCTGTGCCAGTCACTTTGTAAGATGAAGGAAACCAGCCGTTATTTCTGTGCCAGTCACTTTGTAAGATGGAGGAAACCGTCGAGCCCGAGCCACCCACAGAGCCTCCATCAGCGCTGCAAGGCGCAGAGGAGGCTGCCATCGCGAGCCTTGTTGACGAGGTCTTTTCCCAGCCAACGCAACGTAGAATGCACTACTCAATGAAGCAGAAACGACACGCTCTCCTAGCAACAGAAGGTCTTAGTGAGCGTGAAGCTGCACGCTCGCAAAAAATACCGCGGTGGACGCTCAATGGCTGGAGAAAGAACAAAGAGGACATATTTGCGTTCAGAGGCAGCGAGAAGACGCTTTCTCGTGCGCCTAGGCGTCCCGAGATGGTCCCGTTCAAGGTGGAGCTGATCACCTTCATGAAGGACACTCGTCGTGAGAGTCGGCCCCTCACCGCCTCCATCATGGCCTCTTACATTCGTGACGAGCACCCGGCGTGGCTACAGAGCTACACTGAAGGAAAGAAGGACACGTTCACAGCATATGAATCGCTACTAAAGCTGATGCGCCGCTTTGCCTACCGGCACGGCTTCGTGCAACGCACTCCGCACGGTTTAAAGGTAACCCATACATTGTAATATTACCACTAGTTAACTGATATCTAACTGATAATTTATGCTGCTATGTATTCCTTCTTTCTATAGGAAAAACTCAAAGACCTAGAAGCTGTTCAAAAAGCGTTTGCTTGCGTTTTTGAGGCCAAGTATAGCGGATATAATGCAAGCGAGGTATTTAACTGCGACGAGACTAGCGTTTACTTTGACGCGCCACCAGGCAAGATTTTGTCGGAAAGGGGCCAATCGTCGGCAATAACCGCCCAGCAGAAGCATTCTGCCAGATTGACCGCTGTGTGCACAATTCGCGGTGACGGCGTTAAGCTCCCCCTACTTTTCATAGTACGCGGGGAGCAAAACGGCATCATCGAGAAGGAAGAGGTGCCAACTTATCCTGAAGGTACGCTATATTATTTTGATCTTTCTGAATAACTACATGTATAACTGACTTGCTGTATCATTACAGGCCATATTTACACTGTTCAGAGCAAGGCCTGGATGGACGCACGGGTGTGGAAGTTCTACTTGCGCTCCCTACTGCAGAAACATATCGCAAGCCATTCTCTGCTGCTTGTTGATAACTTGGAGTGCCATGTTTCTGGTGAATCTGAGGCGATTATCTCGGAGGAGCTCATGGCAGTGCTCCAGCCACTGCCAAAAAACTCTACTTCCGTGTGCCAACCTTTAGATGTAGGCATCATAAGGCCTCTGAAGGCGAAGCTGAAGGCTTTGTGGCTGACCGAAAAGGCTACCGCTACGACGGCAAAGGAGAAACGCATAGCGACGATCAAGCGTGTAATTGCGGCATGGGAATCTATCGAGGCCAACACAGTGACGAAAGCGTTCAACAAGGCACTCGACACGAACTATAAAAATACAGCTGCCTCCTCGTAATTCATTGCTTTTGCAATATAAAAATACAGCTGCCTCCTCGTAATTCATTGCTTTTGCAAATCCTTAAAACATTGAAGACCTTTGCTTCCTAGCAGCTGTTTCTACAAAGTGAGGTGGCATTTGCATTCTGTCCGTCAGTGTACTAAAGTGATTAGGGGAGATAGGTTGGGAAAGTGTGGATGCTTTGCAACCTGAAAAACGATGAAATGGGCCCTGTTGATAGGCGCAGTCACAGGCTCTGAAACGGCCTGTAGGCTGAGAAAAACGAAAAAAACGAAAACATGCAATTATTGACCGAGAGCCATGCGCTCTCGAGCCGGTAAATTTAACAATGAGCCAGCGGCGGGGTCCACTATTGAAAGCATTCGCTTTTCAGCCAGCCATTAATGCTTGCCGCTATTGGCTAATAATCCACCAATGAGATGCTGCCACATACAAGGTGGAAAGACACGTGGCCAGTGGATGGCCACAAGCTGAAGGGTCGTGCCGACAACTGCCTTCTTCGCTCATTCGGTCTTTTTCACTCCGTAGCTCTAGGGTTAGAGCGCAGGATCCGTCCTGGACACCGGTTCAACTCCGGCTGGGTTCATCGCTCCTCGCGTCTGCTGGGGGTGGAGGCTGTTCCGTACCCGTGCTGCGCCTGCTGCCCGCGCTGCTGCAGCCGTTCTCGTGCCGCGCCTGTTGCCCACGCTGCTGACCTCGTGTTTGTGCCGCGCCTGCTGCTCATGCTGCTGCCCGCGCTCGTGCCCCCCTCCCCTGCTGCAGTGCGGTTTGTCCCTACTCTTTGTTCTGATTGTCTGACAAATAATACGTGTTGTTTTGCGCTGCTCAAAGGTTAACTAACGTGTATTGTTTGCTGTGCTAGTGATGCATCTAACCAACTAATTCAACGACGTCTTGTGTGTAGCCAGGTGCAGGATCTTGGATAGCTGCCGACTGGAGCAGACGCTGGTGGCGCTCTATTTAGCGGTTGAGTGCGCCAGCCTTGTGCAGGGCCTGAAGATGCTTGAGGACGGAACTGGACCCGCGCGACGCGATCTTATGCTGAGCCAGGAAGGAGAGAGCTTCTTTCTACGCGCGCAAACCGAGGGCAAGGACGTCGTCGCGGTAGCTTACAGCGCTTGGATCCAGCCCAAATCCGTCGGTCAAGAACAGCTTCATGTACGCAACCAGCAGCTTCGCGTTCGAGCGCTGTCGCTTGGGCTCGCTCGCGTGCCATCGTGGCTCATGGGCATACCAAGCAAACCAAGTGGCGTGAAGGTGAGTTGCCCCACTCCTGCGCTGCTTCTTCTTTGGTGTGCTGACTTCTTGCTCTCCCTCTTTTTCACTTGGCTTGTTGTGCTTAATGGTCGGGACAGGATCGTTGTTCAGCTTGGCCTCCAGAGCGTCCATCCGCTCGTCTTGCCGCTTCGACATGTCGATTAAGTGCTTAATCACAGAAGCTTGGTGATCGATGATCTTCTGCTCCTTCGTTTGCTGTGCTTGGTGGGTAGTGTCGCTCTACGGAGTTTACAGGGCTCGGCTGCTAGCGAGAGATGCGCAGACCAAGCAAGAAGATCCGCCAGCGTGCTTCCACCGCTTCGCACAGCACCTTCGACCCGCGTGACGACTGGACTGCTGTGGCTCAGCTCCTTCAACAGCGGGAAGTATCGGAAGACGGCCGCGGTCAGGATGTCCACGACCTGCTTGTTGACGTTGAAGCTGGAGGTTGCGAGATTGCTGCAGGACACGAACATCACGTCCTGTACGCGCTTGATCTGCT